TAAGGAGTGCATCTAAGCAGCCTAGACACAACGAGATAAACTCCTAAATCTACAACAACAAAACTAGTTGCGCTAACTAGAGGAGGAAATCCTCTAGCTAGAAAAATTAGAGTAGAGCAGGAATGTAGGCGTGTTAGACAATCTGTCGGGTCCCTACCCTCAAGAGAGGCGCACGATTAACGTTACTGCAGCACCTAGCGTAGCGCATACAAGGCGCACGCTAAAACTAAAAGATCTAACAGGGTACTAGGGTAAGAATATTTAGGAATATTAGGAGTTTATTCGCTCTTATAAAATAGCTTTTCGCTTACTACCTAAGGAGCTAAAGAAGAACAAGAATAAAGTAATATAGTTAATGCAATACCTTAAAGGCGATCTAAAAGAGCTTTAGTACGCGCACTTTAAACGCAGTTTCAAAGCATGCAAACAAATCCCTACTTAGGAGTACTATAAGTAGTACCTACTTAACCTGCTTGCAGATCCTGTAAACCGCAGCCTTAAGGCAGCTACAGCGCACAGCTAAGCTCTCTAGCGAAAAGACTAGACTGTTAGATCTTTTGCTACGTACCTAGAAGTCTTAGAGGACTAGTTAACCTCTTACACTAAAGTACAAAGGGTTTAACACTTGTTTACAAAACTAAGACCTAAACTCTAGCGATTAATTACTAATTACTACTAAATCTTAGCGACCTATAAAGACCTAATAGCGTTAGCCTCTACGCTTAAAAGGAATTTGTAAAAAACACCTGCTACGCATAAATATCGCCCCTAAGTTGCACCTTAGGAGAAATAAAAGCAAAGCCCTCCTACTTCCTAACTAAGCTAACAGAGTAGACTAAAAGATAAGTATATAATTACCTGCTATAAATGCTAAAAGAAGGGCTACTACGCAAATAAGTGTCGAAATAGCAACCTAAACTAGCTACCTATTAGTGTTAACTATATAGAAAAAGGTTAAGCCTCCCTAAAATTCTAGAATTAGTAAGGCGCATACCTATAGATATCTTGCTAGGCATAAAGCGCATATATTACGCAGGCGTAGACACAGCTTCTAAACACAAGTTAGGAGTAATCCTAAATCTACAAGCTAATATTAGTTTAATTAGCTAAAGAAGTGTTATAGAGATAAGTCTTACTCCCCTTAAAGAAGCTAAACTCCCTAGGCTAGAGTAGATTAGCCTACAACAACAAGACACATATGCCGCGTATACGCTAAACCTGCGCCTTACTAACAATAACAGTGTAGAACGCTAGATTAACGCTACTGTGTACAGGGTAGACAAAGAAGGTTGTCTCTTGCTATTAGGCAATCTATTCCTAAAACAAGAAGATATTACTATAGACTATAGACGCTAAACCTAGCGTTAGGGATACTCTAAAGCATAAATACATTTAGTATTAACAAAAGAACTCTTTAAAGAAGCTAAGCGCATTAACTTAAACAGTTATCTACTAGGAACGCTTCTATTAAGCAGCGCAGAGTTAGAACTAAAAGCGCGCGTGTACTATATAAACGCAGCGCAGGAGGTTCGCATCCCGCATGAACTATCAGAATATGCGGATGTCTTCGACAACCGCAACGCAGAGATCCTGCTATAATACAAAAGTTTAGACTATGCAATCCCTATTATAGAAGACAAAGAGCCGCCTTACAGTCTGCTTTACACCCTCTCTTTACGTAAGCTTTAACTGCTCCGCGAATACATTAAAGAAGCCCTACAGTAAGGTTAGATCTAATATAGTACTAGCCCTGCTAGGGCTTCTATATTATTTGTACCTAAAAAAGATAGTACTCTTCGCCTTTGCGTTAATTACTAAGGTCTTAATAATATTACTATTAAAGATTATTACCTGCTCTTATTAATTAGAGAGACCCTAGATCGCTTATTAGGCGTACAATACTATACAACCCTTAACCTAAAAGATACGTACTACTATATTAGAATTAAGGCAGGAGACAAGTAGAAAACCGCCTTCTAAACGCGATACAGCTATTTTAAATACTTAGTAATGCCCTTTAGTCTTACTAATACTCTAGCTAGCTTTTAGGCTTATATTAACAAGGCCTTAAGCGCCTATTTAGATTATATTTACGTTGTATACCTTAATAATATCTTTATATACTTGTATAACAAGGAAATTGCGACACACTAGCGCGCTATACACTTTATACTTTAATTCTTACAAGAAGCAGAGCTGTATATTAACCTAAAGAAGTGTACCTTTGTATTAATAGAGGTACACTTCCTAAGGTTTATAGTTATAAAGCGCAGCATACGCGCAGACTCTACGCGTGTTGCAACTATAGTTAAATAGCTAACCCTAACTAGCTTTAAGAAACTACAATCGTTCCTAGGCTTTACTAACTTTTATTACTACTTTATTGCGCGCTACGCTGTAGTAACAGCCCCCCTTACTAATATCCTTAAGGGAAATTAAATATTCTACTAGAACAAAATTACTACAGAAGCCTTCTAGGCGCTAAAAGACCGTTTTACATATACGCCTATCTTGCGCTATTTTAATGCTGCACTCGCGATTCGCCTTAAGACAGATACCTCTACGTTTGCTATTTCTAGCATACTGTCTTAGCTATTTAAGGACAACAAATAGCACTTAATTACGTTTATCTTACGCAAGCTATAAAGCGCGGAACTAAACTATAAGGTTTATAATCTTAAGTTACTAGCAATTGTATATTATTTTAAACAATAGAGACACTATCTAGAAGGCGCACAATAGACTATCTAAGTTTTAATAGATTATAATAACCTACGCTCTATACGCGCAGTCTAAAAACTAAATCCGCGCTAAGCACAATAGGCGCTTTATCTAGGTGCTTTTAATTTTAAGATAAAGCACCGCCTAAGTTATTCTAACCTAGCAGACAGTCCCTTAAGAAGAGTAGATTATAAGCAGAAGAATACCTTACTAACTTAGTTATTGCCTACCTTGCAGAATAAGCTTCTAGCAAAGGAAAAGCAGAGTAGAGCAAGAAGATCTACGCCTAAGCTTAGCTTAGTGGGCGCGTGTAAGACGCACGTAGCTAATATATACAGCGCCGTAAAGGTCTCTACTGCTAGCGCTATAGGGTGCACACTATACGTGCTACGCTTACTAGCTAGGGTACTAGTTAGTAGCAAACCTACATTAGCTAGGTTAAAAACGTTGTTAGAAGTCCTGCTCTAACTCTAGTAAAGAGACGCCTTTGCACAGGAGAGAAGCGTAAGCTCTAATTAACTAATACGCACTTAAGCTCGCAGAGATGCGCCCGCATAGCGCATTAATAAGAATTAAGTTCTAAGATACAATAGTAGGATATATATTCTAGAGGAACTAGCTATTAGGCAGGAGATTTTGTCCTAGAACTATAACACACACATAGCAGGCTATTTTAGCGCACGTAGAACGCTTAAGCTAATTAGCAGGCTATACTATTAGCTATCGCTAAGCTAAGACGTTTAGGATTACGTACAGACTTATGTAATATACTAAAGGAGCAAAGCTCTAAGGTACAGTAAGCACAGCAAGCTAGCATCGCTGCTAATCCTAGAAGATATCTTTAAAGAGGTGTTACTTAATTTTGTTACTAGATTGCTACTAGCAAAGGACAACTTAGGTTGCGTCTTTAATATAGTACTAGTAATAGTCAACCGCTTCTTAAAGATAGCGATCTATATACCCGCTTTAAAGATATAGAACGCGAAGCAATTTACTAAATCCTATTTTAATTATATTATCTTGCGGTATAGTACTTAAAAAGGTATTATATTAGACTAGAGGTTAATCTTCACTTCTGCTTTCTAGACAGAGATCTACTACTAGCTACAGGTAAAGCGCAGGCTTAGCACCGCTTTCTATCTACAGACAGATAGGTAAACAGAACGCTAGAATTAGACTATAGAGCAATACCTAAGAATATTTACTACGGACGCACAGGATAACTAGGCTTTATTGCTCTCTACTGCCTAATTTGCTTACAACAACTTAATCTATAAATCAACAAAATTAACACTATTCTACGCAGTATATAGGAAACACCTATTACTTTCTGTGCTACCTAAGGACAGCTAGCAAGAAAGGGAGGTACTAGACGCTGTTAATAAGGTGCAGCGCATACACAGCGCACGCGCGTTAGCTAAGGAACAGCTGCGCAGAGCGCAAGAGTACTAAAGCCGCTACTACAACAACAAACACAAACCTAAAGTTTTCCACTAAGAAGACCTAGTGTTATTAAGTACAAAATATATTAACATACTCTACTAACTAAACAAAAAGCTGTCTAGTAAGTTTATAGGGCCCTTCTGTGTATAAGACTATTACGATCTGCACCTAAGAGGAGACGAGGGTAAGCGTAATCACTTTAGAGGATCAAGCGGCACAGTTAAAGGATTGCGGCACAGCAACCACGCCGTAGTCACGTGACTGCTTAGTAGTGAGCAAGTACACGCTAGACTAAGAACAGGTGCTTAGCAGTGAGCAGGACTAGTTAGCTAATAACTAAACCTAACACTGTATCGCTTAGTGACGAGCACTTACACGCTTAGTACTAAGCGCAACACTTATTAGTATATAGCTTAGACACTAAACCCTTATAGCTTAGTGTGTTCAACTTCGTACAAGACTCTAGTATTCAATCTAAGGATTATACTTCGTTCTTATACAACCCCTCGTAATATTACATCGATCTACTAATCGTGCTATTATACTAACCCCGTCCATCGCACTTACTTATTCCCTAAGAACTAACTCTTAAGTTATCTAAGGATAACCTTTACAAAGACGCAGTTAGAACGCAGGCTTACCGCCTGCAATTACTACTAAACTATCGCATTTATAATATATTCTATGTATTACTCTTAGAACAATAGAAACCTAGAGAAAATTAAGAAAATAACACCTAACCGCCTAAAATCACTCTAGAAGGCAAAGAGGTTTAGGAGGTTAAGAAAGTCCTAGGAAAAAAAATAAGAAAAGGCTAACTGCAATATTAGCTGCGCTAGAAAGGCTACAATAAATCCTAGGATACCTAGACTCTAGCTTTAGATTTTAAAAATATAGAAGACTTAATCTAAGAGTTTAATTAAAGCGCACAGCATAAGAGACAAAGAGGAAGAGCAGGAAGGTCTTGTTCGTAGCGCGCAAGAAGCGCAATCCTAATATAAGGGAACTAGAGTATCTATGCATATAAAAAAAACAAACAAACAGAAATCTACAAAACCACTCAATCACCACTACTACCCTCAACACTATCACTAGTCTCACCAGCCCCACTATCCTTACCGCCTCCAGAACTATCACCTGAACCACCAGCGCCCTCTAAGCCATCAACCTGCGACTTATCGTCGCTAAGAGTGCTTAGATTATCAGAATTAGTAGAATTATTATCCTTACTAGCTATGCTATTCTATAAATTTAAAATTAGTAAAATAAAGTTAAAAAGTAGAACTTATAGAAGAAGCGTATACTAAGTATGCTATGTGCTTAACAACCTGCTCTAAAGCGCCTGCGATCCTGCGCTGCTTAACTAAGATTAAGCTTAGGAAGTCCGCACTAGTCTTAGGAATCTAGGTAGGAACTCCTATTAAAGTACCTGTATAGGCAGCGGTACAGCGGCGGGTCGCGAGCTCGAGATTAAATTAGCGCTAGCAACGCGCAAGCTTAGCGCTAGCACCTAGCACAGTAGCACTAATCCTAGGATTGTTGGAATTTAACACAGCAGTGTTATACTTAACCTAAAGGTGATACAGCTAGTTGAGCTTACTAACTATATCCTTAGAAACTTACAAAATGTTAGCAAAAGTCTAAATGTCTAGGAAAACTAAGGGGAAAGTTACTAAGAAGCAATTGCTACAATTGCCCTTAATATAATAGCTATAGCGCTTCTTTCTAAGCTTCTTGCAAAGCTTTTTGCTATTAGCTACGCCTTGTGCGCAGCGCAGGCAAGTCAGCGTAATAGCTACCTCTAACACCCGCTTGTCGCGCTCGCTCTACTCGTAAGGACTAGTATCCTTAAAGACAGTTTTTAAAATATACTTAGGAATAGAATAGTAGACTATCTTAGAGTGTAAGTAGTGTGCGATAAGTGTGTGTTGTATCGTTATGTAGTGTACAATGCAAAGGTGTTAAGCGTGTAAGAGATATAGAGGATAACAGCAATATATTACAACAACAACTGTTTGCTATCACTACAAGCGAGCGAAAAATTTTCCGCCTTTACCTTAACAACATAAGAAATTTTTATTACAATAAGGCAACAGTATTACAACAAAGCAACAGTCCTTACAACTCTTTCTATTATATCTCCTTACTATAGAGTAAGTTCTAAGCATTATACAAGCTACATAAGAACAACACAGAGGAGCCGCAAGCGCAATAGACCTAGAGCGCATAGTAGAGGACACTCTTTTCCTACTCCTAAAACAACAGGAGAGGTTTTTATTAAGGCCGCTGCTGTTAAGGACGCTAGCCTAGAGAGGGAGGTTCTATAATAAGGACTTAAGGCACACGTCTCTTAAAGAAATAGAGTACGCGCTAAACCTACTTATAAGGCGCGCCTCGCTCTATAGAGAGAGGCAAGGATTATTCTCTTTACAACCTACACCTGTAGTCTGAATATACAAGCTATCTCCTACTATCCTTAGTAACGTAAAGCAAGCACTATTGCCTACAGTTACGCCTTACAATTAGGGTAAAGAACTTACTAAAGTGCAGTAGCAGTTCTTCTTACAGCAACGCGCGCAAGACTTCTAACGCGTAGTTATTTAATTATAACTATACTAAACTCTCTCTATAATGTGCTTAGCGCACTCTAAATAAATTAAGTTCTTATTTAGCTTCTTAAGCGCTATGTTAAGGGAGCGCAGAGCTTAGCTAGTAAGTAAGTCGCTAGGACTGCCGTTATTACTGTCGTTAGGGTTGTTACTAGAGTTCTAGGGGCGGCTAAGTAAGGTGCTAGGCTTCTTGTTACGGGCACTAAAGGCGTAGCGGAGGTACTTAGTTATATTATTGTTATTAATATAGGGTAACTATTCTAGAGTTCCTAAGCGTCTCTAACACCTACTCTTATAGCTACGAGATATGCTAAGCACAGGACTCCTACAGTAAGAGGAGAAGCGCAATTAGCGCGGATTTCTAGGTAAGTTTGTTATACGCGATTGAATAAAGCAGGGTAGCAAATAAGTAAGAGCGGCGCAATAAACTTGCGGTTAGGATAGTAACAGAGCCTGTAAAGAAGTTAGATTAAAGTTGTAAACAGCGCGGAGAGGGGACTAAAATACAGCGCGCAACATAGAAAGTTAGCGACTAAACAGCGGACTTACAGCAGAGTTAAGCATGCTTTATAGTAGAAACGTAGAGCGATCGCAAACAGGCTGCAGCGGATGTAAAGATTAAGCAGATTTTGCGTAACATACGCGAATAACAGGACTACGTTACAGAGCTATAGGGTGTCGCATTGTTACTTTAGTGTAGGGTTAGGAAATTAATACCTATAGAAGTAAGTTAACAGAGGCAGATTAGATTTTACTAAGCTTAAGAGCAGTTAGGTAAAGTTCGCCCTAAGGGAGAGAGGAGGTTGTAACAGGCGGAAGCCTAGGGATAAGAAGCCTTGGCTAGGTAGCCTTAGGACTAGTGCAGCTATCTGAACTCGCTTAGGATTGCGCTGGAACCTAGCTAGAGTTTGATGTAGGCTAGAGGAATCTTCTAACCTTGCTTAGGATAGTATTAGAGCTTAGGCGGAGCTTAGCTAGAGCACTAAGTATTACCCGGAACTCGCCTAGAGTTTAGAACCGCTACACATACAAATATCTATCCTATCTCA